TGTGTCATGTTGACAAGTTGTGGGGAAGGTCAGCAAACAACAGACGCACATTGTTACTTCAGGGACGATGGTTGAGTGCTGGACGTCGGGGGTTGGCCGTACATGTAGGGTCACTAGGTTTGCTTGTGCGACCTTTTTGACCTCCAGCAGTGACAGTATAGGAATCCTTTCTCTGGCTGAGCACCTGACCGACACACTGACCTCACAGATAATGTTTCTGCACGTCTTAGCTGCCCCAAATACCACAGCAGAAGAAGAATGAGGAGGGTGTGAGGCATGTGTCGGGGGTCACGGCCACATCACTGGAGGTAATGTGTCGACAGGGTTGTGTTGTTGCGTTCAGTCTCGTTGTTTAAATGTGCACTCAAGATATTTTAACAAAGACTCCAGCTGAGCATTGTGTGGCTCAAGATGATTATTTTTTGGGCTTTTGTTCCTTCATTTGAGAGTCAGGGCGGGGGACAGAGTCAGAAATCAGGGAGAGAGAGAGAGAGGGGAATGACATGCAGGAAAAGGAGCCACAGGTTGGACCCGAACCCGGGCCGCCCCCTTAGAGGACTACAGCTTCCACACATGGGGCACGTACACCAACAACCAGGGCACCGGCACCCCGATGCATCAGTTTTTAAGTTAAAGAAACACTTCCAGTGATTTAAAGGTGTGGATGGAAACTGTTTAATTTGAAATGGAAAATGGATGGGTAGAAATATGCGTCACTACAACCCTAAGTAAAATAATGAATGTCCAGCAGCAGTCTGAGATTTATTTTTTTGCAGGTGCTTTGGGGTCAAAGTAGGAGGTTGCTCTTGGGCTTCAGCCACTCCACAAATGGAGGTCGGTGACCTCAGAGAAGGACCTTGGATGTTTAAAATATAGTTCAGTGGACTCCTTCTCTCAGGCAGGATCCAGAAAGTTCTCGAGCACATGAATCAAAGCAAATACTGTATATTTAGGTGCAAAAGATCAACGTTTCATCTTCCTCTGGGTCTAAAGTGTTTTTTTTAATTTTTGGACCCTGAGGAAGACATTAGTCCTTTGCACTTTAATGCATTTGCCTTGAGAGGATTGTTAATGTGCTGCCAACACTGATGCACTGACACACCTATTTGCAGACACCAGCGTGTATGAACATCTGTCCCGCAACATTTGGAAGGTCTTTCACAAAAGGTGGAATATTCAGCTAAAGGCAAATGTACATACATGCAACTGAGCCAACGACAGGCAGCGGGGGGGGTTTTAGCGACGTGGAGCCCAAAGACAAATATGAGCCATCATAGCAAGTGAACAAAAAAACGTTTGAGGCATCTCTTTCAGGTTACAAAGTCCACAACACAACAGAGACACATCTGAATTCTACATAATCACATGTGTCACATTTTTCTTTCTAGACGAGGTGAAACTCATAGAAAAAAAACAAGCTATATGATCATTATTATTTATTCCGCCACAAAACCTTTTTTTATTGCATGACATTTTACCATTTTGTCAACATTGCTTATTCTCTATTCAATTCAAAAGCATGGGAAACAAAGGTAGCCTATACATTGCCTAAAATAAAAAATTAAATGTAAAAAAGAATAAAAAAAATCGATATTCAAGTAACAGAGATGTGCAGGATTACAGTATTACAAAGTGTTTAAACATAAGAACAGTTTGTGTTTAACTTTGAAATCTCAGCACTCTCTCTCTCCCTCTCTCTCTCTCTCTCTCTCTCTCTCTCTGTCTCTCTCTCTCTCTCTCTCTCTCTCTCTCTCTCTCTCTTAACCACTCACACACTACGTGCACAAGTTACAGCAGAAGTTACACGTCGGTTACATGTTCCTTAAGTAAAACCGCCTATGACGACAGGGCCTGCGCATATGTGGCATTGCGCACACGCAGCAAGCATCACATATTTTATGGCCCCTCCACCCACACAGATACTATAATTGGACAAACTCAGACAAACTCAAGTTATCAGCATCTCAACTAATACCGAACATTAGGGCCAACTTCATCCCGTACTGAAAATGAGCAGCACACAGGATACAGACTGTGTGCCAAACACACCAAAATGCATGAAATGTATACACAGCAGACGAGATTAACGCAAACCTACCTTTTGATGTCTTCATAATAAAGCGGTCGGTCTGATGTCATGGTTTAGGGTGAATGCAAAATGTTGTTGTTTTCTTCAGGCCCTTGTTCTTCTTTTGGTGTTGATCTCCTACAGTGCCAGGTTACAGATTCAGATTCTTTATTGTCCCACAAGGGGAAATTTGCGTTGCAACAGGAGCACACAGAAGACAAGAAACACAAGGACAACATCACCATGAAACATAAACCAAAACTAAATTAAAAAATCAGACAACACAACAAAATGTAAACCCAAATAAAAACAGCGCAATAAAATCAGTCAAGAGCCCAAACGAGAATGGTAATTCTAGTTATTGAAGTGCAAAGTGGAGGTGTGCAAAAAGAGCAACAAATAGCTAATTGTTGTTTAACATATGAATTGCACTTGTTAAAAATGAGACCTGGAGTCTTTTAGTCTTCCTCACAGGAGCTCTAAAACGACGACCTGAGGGTAAAAGGTCAAACTCACTGTGAAGTGGGTGATCTGGGATCACAAGCATGGCCCAGGTCCGACAGTCTGCGGCTCTCCGCTGCTGTTCCTCACATGTTAGGTTTTGGTTAAAACTCCTCGTGGACCCTCACAGGGATGACTATCTTCATGAATAGTAGTTTATTGATAAAATCAGTAATGCCAGAATCATCAGCAGGATCTTCTCCTGCTCCCCGTCCTCTGGCTTTTCTATGTCTTCAATATAACTGAAAGGCGTACAGCTCCTTTCCCTGCCCTGATTTAGGTATTTTAATATCTACAGGATATTATCAAAGAATGTGACTGTGATCATAAATCACCCTCTGTACCTGCTCTTAATGTTGAATGACGAGAAGTGAGAAGGGTGAAGGTCTTGTGTCATTCGAGCAGGTTTGGCTTCTCTCCGGTCAGGTCATGGCCTAGGTTGTTGTATGCTCGTGTGAGAGGTCAGAGGTCAGGTCAGTGTGTCTGTTGTGGTTGCATTGCACTCAGTCATCGGGTGAACAGCTGAGCTCTCTGACTGAAGTGCTGCGTGAGGTCAGCCTGGGTTGTTGTGTGTGTGTGACTCGTTTTCTAACACAAAAACTTCTCGCATTATAGATTCATTTTTTTTATTATCTAGTAAAAAATAGTAATCGATTAACATGCATTTAGATTCAGACACGTACATTTCAAGACTTTTTTTCCCAAAAAATATTCAAACACTGAGACAAGATTTCTGATTATGATCCTAGAAAAACATCTTACATTTTTACTTTTTATGTTTGTTTTATTTAAAAAGCGTATCGATCTTCTGTGATAATCCATGCTGAATCTAAATGATCTTTTTTCAAAGCTGTAGTCACTGAAGTTTCGGTTAATTGGAAACAATTGAACAGGTTGAGAAAACAGTTACCGTAACACTTCTTTTAAAAACTCTTTATTTACATCGTTCTAAAAGATGACCCAGCTTTTATTTGGGACAGTCCTCGATACCTTTAATTATTCAATCAATAATTTGTCCACAGCAAAGATGTGTAGAAATTGTAAATATACACCAAAAAAAACCATCTGTACAAAATAAGTTAAATCCCTCATTTGTTCCTGCGTTGTAACACAGCCCATCTCTCCTAACCTGTGGGGGAGAGACCATTAATAACATATAAATAAAAACCTGAGTTGTGCTTTAGAAGAGGAACCTGTTTTTGTAGCAGATTTGAGCTGCAAAGACTGCTGGGAGAAAAGACAAAATGCGCTGTTCAAGACTTGGGATGGGCTTCTATTTGAAGTTTTACGGTATCTCACTTTCTATTACTCTTTTTATTGTTATAGCAATAAATAAATCATCTAGCAGACAGGGTGCATCATTATTATTGAGTCAAACTGATTTGACTTGAAACCCAAGTCAACCAAACCAAAGAGCTAAAAGTGATCCTCTCTGGCTTAATCCAAAAACAAAGACACCCTGCAAAAAAAAAAAACAGACACCCTGCATATCAAACTTAGAAAACTACGGAGGATTAGGGCCACGTTAAATTTTTTATTTTTAATTTATTTTGGGATTAAAGTCTTTATTTCGTAAATTTACAACTTTATTCTCGTAAATTTACGAGTTTAATCTTGGAATTAAAAAAAATAATAATAATTTAACATGGCCTGAATCCTCCGTCGTAGAAAACTGATTACTTGTTTATAAAAAAAAAAAGAAAGTAATCATCAAAACAGCTCGCTGATCTTAGCCAGATCCCAGCTCATTTTACTTTATAAAACAACAGCTCTGTCTATGACCTCGTGCTTTAAACAACGCATCCTCTTATGATATCGTACGTTTGCATAATTCTCATTTGTCTTCCTACAAACTCAGGTCGACAAATATTGAAGCTTTGTGACACACCCTCTTCCAGATCAGGGTGTCGTTCAGGGTGAAAAACGTTGGTGTAGTTTAGATACAAATCATCTGGTGGGCTGAAAACAAAACCTCGACTTTGACTTTTTGTTGTATGAGTTGTGCCTCCTGGGTGTGAGCTCTGAATTGTTGTTTTTTTGGACCATTATTGCCTTTAATGGATGATAGATCGTGTAGGACAGCTGAAGAGACACAGTAACACAACTATAACCACTAGGCTATCCGGTGCCCCTGCTGAATCGTTTTAACCATTTACTGCCTCTGATCACGACCAAAGACCCGCAGCCCCGTTTCCACCCAGCAGTTCTGTTCAGCAGCTCAGTTCCCACAAGCTTCACAGCTTTAGTGTTTCAAATTGCCGCCTGTTGGGTCCAGATTGTCTCAAGAGAACTGACAATGTATTAATCACAGTTATCACCATTTTGTAGGAATAGCCTCCAACGGTGATTAAGAACAACCTGCTTAAAGCTCAAAACATCTGGATCTTTTCACAGCAGATGTTGTCCAACAACAGTGACACATTGTAGTGAATCACACCCATGCCCTCTTGTCCTGAGAGTCACTGCTGTCTGACTGTTGGCCTGAGTTTGCTGCAGCTGGAGTGAACTGGCCCAGTTGTTTGACCCTTACGGGTGTTGGCGCCCTGGGGTTCGGCGGCGGTATCCTATCAGGACGAGGAGACATTGGAGGTCTGAGGTGGCTGTGGAGGACGAAGTGAGTCGGTACTGGAGTGGGAGAGAGCGATATGTCTTTGTTTTCGGGCATGTGGTCCTGGGTGGATTCTGCCGGGTTTATGAAAGTTTCACCGTAGATTTTTGCATTTTTCTCATCTTTCATGGTGCTCTTTGAGCTTCCACTCAGGCTGATCCCTCTGGTTAGAAGAACGTCGCTGTCTTCATTGGTAGTGGCCGTGAACACGCTGCTTTGCTCGCCTGCTTTACTCATCTCCTCCAGGAGCATCTCCCGTCTCCTCCTCCACCTCACCATGGCCTTCACCGAGCTCACCAGGTCGAAGAAACTCAGCAGAGCGGACAGGGAGGAAACGCCCAGCATGAAGTTGAGCATTAGCGTCTTCTCCATCGGCTTGGAGATGTAGCATTCCACTCCGGACGTGCAGGGCGCCTCGTAACAGAGGAAGCTCTTCGGCATGGACAAACCGAAGAGGAAAAACTGCCCGGCGCTGAAAAACACTTCCAGGAGGATCCGCAGAACTACAACCAGGAGGTAGGCGCAGTAGAAACGCGGCACTCCCCATTCTCGGGGAAGTTCATGAATCGGAGCTTTGTGTAAGGACAGCTCTCTGGAGGAGCTCGAGTTCTCAAAAGTGGAACCTCCTCTGCTCCTGTCGAAGAAGAAGAAACCTCCAACGCTCGGATAATACACCGTCATGACTTTGTGCGCGACGTAGGTGGCAAACAGCACATGGGGAAGACAGAGGAGGATGAGGTGGAAGAGCCAGAGGCGGAAGACGGACACGGGGGAGAAGACGTCGAAGCACACGTTGGAGCAGCCGGGCTGGATGGTGTTGCAGATGAATCGGTCCTGCTCGTCGGCGTAGAGGGTGAAGCCGGCCAGCAGGAGGACGAGCAGACGTAGAAACAGCATCAGCATCCACCAGACTTTACCTGAGGTGGAACAGAGAAGGTTAAATACAGAGCGGGGAAGTAGCTCCATGTTGAGAAATGTTGAGATTCAGGCTGAACTCTGAAGGAAAGAGTCAAGCTTTAAGTTTAAAAGAAGACCAACTAGATTACATAGGATGGGAATTGCTGATAGCAATCAGTGCTGGAAGTGTAAGAACGACTTGGGCACTTATTTACATATGATCTGGGAATGTGCTATGGTGCATCCATTTTGGTGTAGTATTTTGGAGATACTGGGGGATTGGATTGGTGTCACTCTCCCAGTGCACCCAGTGCTTTGCCTCCTTTGTGACAAGTCATTGGTGCCTAACGTAACAAATCCCAAAATTAGCATTTTAAAGGTTGGATTTATCACAGCCGCGAGAATTATACTGCGAAATTGGAAGGACCTCAGGCGCTCCACTGTGAAGGAATGGACTGATGAAATGGTTAAGATCTCTTCATGTGAAAACATGTTGGGGAAAATGAATGTTGGTGGAAAGATGACAGAGATATGGGATCTGTTTTAGCAACATGTTAAACTAAGGTCATGACTCATGTTGGTGGTTGTACCTCTCTTATGTGTGTGGCATTATTTTGTTATTTCTGTTATCTCATGCTAGGAGATGACTTACATGCTCTGCCTAAGTGCTTTGTACTTTTTGTTTTGTAATTTTATGTAATCTTAAGTGAAAAAAAAAAAGCAGGTGAAGAAAAGTGAATTCAGAGAGGAAAAAGTTTTTCTTTTCTTTTTTTAACTTAATTTTTGCATTCCAAAAAACGTTCTCTTTTCATGTTTTCAGAATAAAGAAGATAATTTATTTCAGGAGTGTCCCTGGGCCATTGCAGTAGCAAGCCAAAGGATACTGCAGGAGTTACATGTTGAAATAGAAGTTGAAGTTTAGCCTCATCTGGCTCTGTTTATCCCGGGCAAATTGTCAGTACTGTCCCTTTAGAAGATAATATGTACCCACTGATGTTACTCTGTCACAATTGCTGTGAAGTTATTAGAGGAGAGTGGACACTACAAAGGACGAACGAAATCCGATCCACGATCCATAACTTTACTTTCTTTGGACTCGTATGCCTGGATGGCTGGTGTTGCGCTTTTTCCGGACTCAAAACAAACAAAACTGGAAGGACATTTGTTTTTATTTTTACTAATGTTGCTCTGCTGGTGTATTTACCTGTCCGCTCCAAATAAAGATACAATTTAAAAAAAGAAAAAAAGAAATAGAAGTTGAAATAGCTTCATGGACAAAATAGACTTCGTATTTTGGCGGTATAGGTCGGAAAACAACAAATGAAGACTCACCAATGAAGGAGACATTTTGACTGACAGTGATGAACAGTAGATCAGTTGCTCCCATCATCCTCATTTTTTCACCTTTAAAAAAAAAACACCGAACTCACTTCACTTCAGAGAGAAGTTCCTGAGTCGCTTCGCCCACCAACACTGCTGTTAGTATCGTTTTAGAACACCTCCAATGTTTTCTTATACCGCTCTCTCTCTCTCTTGCTCTCTCTCTTGTCCTCGTATATAGGCCGAGACCTGTCGAGGGGAGCTATTCTTACCAGGCACCCATCAAAGCATTGTTGGGATGTCGAGGTACCAGTCAACCTTACTGGAAGCTGTCAGTCATTGGCGGCTGAGCTGGTTTTAGATATGAACTCAAGAAAGACAATAAAATGGTAGAGAGAAGCTTGTAAGTCACACTGACATTTTAATCACAGGACAGATAATGATTATTTTATAGGTATTTAGAGACAGAGGCAGCTTGGTTTTAATGACTACAGACGCCTTAGAAGACAAGAAAGAAAACTTTGTCAGGAACATCTTTTCTGTTTTGTTGTTTTAAACATTTTTTTCCAACTTGAAAGAAAATGTTTTCTGATATTGTTTGTTAAAGTCATTCTATTGGGCTTTTTATTGAAGAAAAAAGTCAGCCAGAATCCTTTTTTAGTTATCCTTTTTATTAAGTAGCGTCAGTAGCATCTTCCTTAAATAATCAAATATAGACGTTTACTAAAGTCGTCTATATGCCGCTCGATCATAACTTCTGGGTCTTTGTGGTGGTGACTGTGCCTGCAGGGACTCTGTCCTCTGTCTGGATTTTCATGTTTAGGTTTGTTTAAGTTGACTCAGGATGTTTCTGGGTGGGGCGCTGGTGTGTTTTCCTCCAGCCAATGACAGCGTGCAGGCGAGTTTAGGTGTGGATAAAATTCAGGGATTGGATGCAATTCAAATCGGGGAAAATTAAGGACGCAGACAAAGTGGCAGATTTTTTTTTTTTTACAATGAAACAAAGATACTTGGAATCAAGAACCAAAGAGGAGTTTTTGTTTCAATATGCAACATGTATTTTAGATCAAATGTTTTTATGTAACTCTATAAAACTGAATACACAAAAACAAAGAGGTGCTCTGTTGCCTCCTCACTCCTTCTACTGCAGCATCCACTTTCTATGCAAAGCAGCTATTGGCTGTGATCATTAGGAAGGTTTAAAGGTAAAGCTTGAGGTTTACAGGAACAGAGTATGTAGTACAAACACCTATGGTGATGCTGCTTTCAGCTGTTACGCTCCGAGACTGTGGAACAACCTTCCTGAGGGTCTGAGAGGAGCCCAGAATATTGAGATTTTTAAACGCAGTCTTAAAACTCATTTATTCAGTCTGGCTTCAATTCAAATCTTAACATTATTGTGTCGTCTTTTTTTATCCTACTACAATGTTTAATATGTATTAATTTTAATATCTTGTTGCTTTTATGTGTCGTATTTTATTTTTTCATCTATACATTTTACATTTTTTAATTCTTATTGGTGTGCATTAGTCACTCAATGATTTTATAAACCACTTTTTCATCAACTTTTCTGCACTCTTGTAAAGCACTTTGAACTGCAATTTAATTTGTCTGAAAGGTGCTGTATAAATAAAGTTTGATTGATTGATTGAGTGATATGTCGGTAATAAATACATGTGTAAGCTGCAAAATACCATCTTTATATTTGTGCCATGAGTTATTGGAACCACACTTTCTGTGGTAAAATAGGGTCATCATTTCATTTTATTTTTTAAAGATACTTTCTGGGCATTTGCCTTCATTAAGAGAGGAAAGTGCAAAGAGCAGGAAATCAGGAAGGAGTGAGGAATGAAATGTGGGAAAGGAGCCACAGGTCGGACGTGAACCAGGCCACCCCGACCTAACTGCTAGGGCCGTCCTCGCCCCTTGCTTCAGATTTTCTTTTAAATGTAATGTTAGTAATAAGAGTACCAGACACACAGCATCATAGAGTGGAGGTACATATCTGAATTCCAGTCGACATAACGATAAAAATGTGAAATTTAAGATAACCTCTTAATACATGTTCTGCAATTTTCACACGTCCACTAGATGTCAGCAGAGGGTCACAAAACAAACTCTATTTATTGCTTCTTTATTGACTCATTCTTCCCATGAATATATCTCAGAAAAGAATTGCGTCAGAGAGAATTGTCACAAATTTAAATTATTGTGCGGATCATCGCATCTAGAAAATGTATGTGAGGTGCCGAGCATCAGAATAAACAGGAGAAGAAGAAAATAAATAAAGACGAAACGCTCCACCTGAGTATCGACAGTAACACTTTAAAAACTGTAAACCTTGAACAGAAAGACTTCCAAAGAAGGACATCAACTTGTTAATACTTTTTTTTATTATTCTAAGACCTGTAAAAGGAAATAAATACCAGGTAGAAATTCCAGTGCTATGCTACTGTTTTTTTGAAAGTCTGAAAGTATTAAGAGTCCAGGCTGCTCAGTCAAATAAATAATAATAAGCTTCACTGTGTGGGTTGAAAGGCCGTCTTGGAGGCAGGTCGTGTCAGATTCAGTCCAGACAGAAAAGCAGAAAACTGATCAGTGCTGATACATTTAGACACGTTCACAAAGCCATGTCCTGAAAAAGTTTTTCAAGGCTTTCTTCTCCAGGATTGTGTTTATTGGTCCGTCGCTGGATTCTTCCCCGAGGATGATAAAACAACCTGGACCGCCTTTCTTTTCTTTCTTGTGTTAATAGAAGAGTTGAGGCACTGTGAAGGCAAAAATAATCCCCCTCCTAAGACGTCAGTTTTGGTTTCAGTTTTCAGTCGCTGCTCCATGTTTTTTTGTTTTATCTGGAAGTTTTTAAACCATGCTGGTCTAATTCCACCAACGTGAGTGTGTGTGTGTGTGTGTGTGTGTGTGTGTGTGTGTGTGTGTGTGTAGGAGTTCTCGCATCGAAACCAGCGTGTCAAGCCAGTGTTCAGTTTCATGGCGTCTGGTTAGGAGAGGATGGCAGGAACCCATCTGACCCCACAAAGATTGTCCGTGCTGGCCGAGCGCTTCCTCGCAGCTTTGCGGACGTCCTTGTAGTTGTCGTCACACAGCCTGGAAATAGCCTGAGGAGACGACATGGAAAGGGTTTTATTGCAGAGGCAACGATCACGCACACAAAAAACTCGCACTCCATTAAAAATAGATATTTGCATAATTTCAGAACCTGGCTTAGAAAAGTAAAGCAAGTATTTGTAGAATTCTTCAGCAGCATATTTAAAATGGATCTCAGAGCATATATTTGTGTTTGCAGGGAAGTGGGACAGTCCTGATGAGAACTGTTTGGCTCTGCAGCCTCTTTTTAACACAAAAGATGTTTTCACATACAGTATGCACTCCTGAATTTTTCAAGAGAATTTCTGGCGTACTGCCCCAGAAATCCTCCTGACCTAGCTGCTCAGACTGCAAGAGACTCTCCCGGTCGGGCAGGAGGAGGGGGGAGGGTCTCCAGAGGCAAGACATGACGTAAAGCAACAACATGGAAGTGGCAGACGAAGCAACAGAGTCTGCTTAATGAAGCCATAATGAGAAGATTTGCCTTTATATCAATGCTATGTGTAGTTTGACTGAATGAGAATATCAACAAAAGAGTGGAGAAGAACATACTGCAGAACAGAAAACATATTAAACATATTGCAGCCGTTTAATTACATGCACAGAGATTGTACTGGCTGAGTGCATACAGTCTATGATTGTGCGACGATTGCAGGAAATAAATGTCACCTCCCCCTCCCCCTCCTATTGGCTCCAGGTGAATTCTCCTGATTATATCCTGCTGCGTTCTCACATCAGCTCACTCTGACTTTCTGCAGATAAAACACTACGGTGCTGGCTGGAGAAACTTTCTGTTCACACATGCACCTCATCCTGAAAAGCTTCAGGAGTTCTGTGCAAGTGTGAAAGAACTTCAAGAAAATATAATATATTAAAAAGACGCTTACATTTTTTTTTTAGTTTTGTTTGCTTTGCATTAATCACTTCTAAAAGTGAAGATAAACCATGATACTTTTTTTTAAAGACATGTCTTTGGGGCTTCTGGCCTTTATTTTAAGGATAGAGTTGAAAATCGGGGACGGAGAATTCTGGGAAAGCAGTCACAGGTTGGACCTGAACCTGGGCCATCCACTTTGGGGGGACTATAGACTCAACATATGGGGCGTGACTAAACCGCTAGGCCGCTAGCGCCCAGCTCAACTGTGATAATCCATTTAAAAAGACAGATTCAACTGGAGTCTTGTGTGTCTGTTGAGTTGAAGGTCCACAGATTTGATGTTCAGATGAATGTTTTCATTTTCATCAACAAGGATCTTCTAAATGTTATGTCGTTTTTAATCTCTGTATTAGGTTGTGACCACATCAAATCAGTTCAAAAATAAAGAATAAAGAAGGGGGGGGGGGGGGGCTGGGGTTTAAGTTGCATACCCTCATAAACAGAGTCCTCGAGCGGCCAGGGTTTGATGACAACTCTCTGCTCACTTTGTAACACTCCAGCCACTGTTCAATCCACTGAATAAAGTCCAAAAAATAAATCTTTAAAAGGAAAGAGCTGCACACATTTCTTTCAGCATCTTTTGTGATTCTACCAATTGGGCGCTGAGTTCATAAATCTGCCACCTTGGCTCCAATTTTCATCAGAAAAAAAGATTTAACAAGAGGAAGGAAGCATGACAAGAGCACTGTAAAAACAAAGGAAGGACTGTGTGAATAGTTGGCTGCACCACCTCTAGTTTTTGGGCCTTCTCCCTGCTGAGCGGCTCCAGGGGGAAGCTGAGGTTGTTGGACTCTGAGAGCGATCGCAGATCAAAGTAATACTTGGCGTAGACGCTGGACGGCACATTGATGTTGAACTGCAGCAGCTCCAGAAACTGGCGCTCCAACTCGTTCCTGTAGGAGAGCGGAGAGAGCTGGTGATTCATGGAATCAACGTTTTCTGCACTACCTGATTTCACTGCTGACTGTCTGTAATAACGCCATCTCTTTGTGTGCAGTTTTATTCACTGCAGGCTGTAAAACGTTTTGCCCCACGAGGATAATTAAATGTACCTTGACCTTGAATAAAAATCTTCTGGACCAAAGTCCTTCAAACAGACCCAGTTCCATGTCTTTAAAATAAACAAACTCACATATCCTCCACCGTGATATCCTTGAGGATCTGGCAGTAATCAACGTTCCAGACGGCCTGATCGTCCCAGACCTTTGAGGCCAGCAGGATTGCACCCAGAACGATCCGTTTCCAGTTACCCGGGCAGATGTCGATCTCTGCGTAGGTCAGGAGCCTCTCCAGGTACACCTACACAACACAGATAAGGTACACACAAAGTAAGGCAGCCATCAGGGATAAGAAGAGTTGGAAATCTTTTTTCTGCCAAATATATAAACAAGACAAGAAAACAAGATTTGGCAAGTTTTTCATGGGCTGCAACCCACATACTCAGCTCTGCTGCTCATCCCACAAATGCATCTTCCTTACAAATGTGGCAACATTTAAAAGGAAAATAAAAAGGCTTTCCAACGGTATAAGATTCATGCGATGTTTATATAAATATATATATTTAAATCAAGCATTTTCTGAGTATTTATACATCTAATTATCTCTTCTTTCTCGTTTACTCATTTTTCAACTAATTCCAAAGCACTGTGGAAGCTAACGATCCAATCACATTCATCCCAACGTTATGTCCCGCCTCCTTTCTTGTGATTGGTTCTATCCTGTTTTAATTGTAACTCATGAAGCCAAGACAGTAAGATACTCTCCAAGTTCTGTTTCATGGGGACTTTAATAATAAATTCTCAAATTTAGCGCTGATCTAATTTTCTTTTCATGCTGCATTTAATGCTGTCAGAGAGTTTACATTAACCCTTTCCTGTATGACATCCTACATTCATCACCGCTCTCTCTGTTAATAGATACACACAGACTACATGTATGGCATTTTGGGTGTACAGTCGCATCGACATTGTGCACACATCCCTGGCTTGTCTCAACAAATCAGGGTTTCAATCCCCCCCGAGGCCTGAACAGAAACTGTGTGTGTGTGTGTGTGTGTGTGTGTGTGTGTGTGAGGTTACAGTTATTAATAAAGATGATAAAGCGTAGGAAGTTAAAAAAAATCTTACCAGTGTGACGATGGCACACTCAGACGTGAGCTGAGCGGCGCTGAACAAAGTTCTGACGAATCTGTAGATCTGCTTCTGCTCAGGGTCGTGTTGGTCGTAGTCCAGCGGCACCTCCGACTTCTGGAAGGAAAGAGAAGAAGAAGAAGAAGAAGAAGAAGAAGAAGAAGAAGAAGAAGAAGAAGAAGATGTCCTTTATTAATCCCATGAGGGGAATCTCACTTTCACACACATAAGATGAAACACACACACATGCAGAAACAGGATCCTATAGACATCCACTAATGGAGAGATGTCAGAGTTGGGGGTTTGGTGCCTTGCTCAAGGGCACATTGGCAGTGCTCAGGAAGTGACCTGGCTCATCTCTAGAAACCAGACCAATTTCCAGACTTGGTCCGCACCAGGACTTGAACCAGCAGCAACCAGCGACCCTCCCACTCCCAACCCGAGTCCCTTGAGACTGAGCTACTGCCGCCCCAAAGGGACAGAAAGAAGGAAGTAAATGAAGGGGAAGCATTAAGGAAGAAAAAACTTTATTTTCAGCCTCTACTATAAAAAATCCATTGGAGTAAATGTGTAACAAATTTGAAAAATAAAATACAAAGTGATGGAGTCTTACTGAAAGAGGATGAAGCTTCTCGTCGAAGATATCTAACAGCATCGCTCCATCTGTGTCCCTGATGTGAAAAATAAAACAGTTTCATGGTGAGTTTAATGACATCAGTAAAATCCTAAACGTGAAAGAAGATCTAGCAGTTTAGAGATCATCAGACTAAATGTGATATGTTTTCTTATTGGCTGGAATTCTTGCGTTGTAAACCAAATATGATTACTGCTGATTTGTGTGCTTTTCTTTCTGCTGTTTTTTTTAAGAAAACATAACATGTGATTATCTTTTCAGATCACAATTCTTACTTTACCAATAAATCGATTGATTCCAGATTTGCCAGATGAATTAAACATTTATTTATTCAGCCCTTGAATCTTGCACGTGATAATTAGTGATCTTGAAGTGACGTGTTACTTTAAATTCTTTCTTTTGACTTTAAATTTGTTTGAATTTGAATACATATTCTCTGGTTGCTCGTATTATTTTGCCCATGTCTCAATTTGATCTTTTGTTAATACTTTGAACCGAGATATTTGAGGATTTCAACATCTCAATAGTCTTGAAAACAGCCCAAGAGGTCCCAATTCTTTTAGTTTTTTTTAGGTATTTATTTAGAGACAGGACAGTGAACAGAGTCATAAATCAGGGATGACATGCGGGAAAGATGCCACAGGTTTGGATTTGAACCCAGGCCGCCCACTCCGAGGACGATAGCCTCTGTACATGGGGAGCATGCACTAACCACTAAGCTACCAGTGCCCCCAACATGTCCCCTTCTATCGTCTGTTATCATTTTAGTTTGGTTTTTTAGTTATTTTTCCTCCCTTCATGTGTTGTCTTATTTTAAAATCCCCAAATTAACAATTCACAAACCTATAACTGAATCCACTGTGTTAAACTTTATATTTTAAATTACATGTACTACTTTGTTTTACCCTTATAACATACATCAATCATTTTGTGCTTTAACAAATGAACGTTCATATGCCAGTTAAGTCTGGAGAAAAAAAAAGAAAAAAGAAAAACACTTCCTTGATTGAGTGATTCATTCACTCTGCTGTTCCCTCACCTGTTTTTTATATGGTAGTAGATTGCCAATGCTACACTGTGAAAAAGAGAATAAGAACAAATGTGTTAAATATTTTTTAAACTTCAGATAAATGTAGATCATGAATCACTCACAGATATATGAGTGACAGACATTTATCATGATGTTTTTACCATTTGATGGTGTATTTGAGGTTGGGCTGGCTGACCGTGTTGTCGTCGAGGAAGATGGTGGAGCAGGAGCTGTATTTCCTCCTGGACGTGCCATGCTGCACACACACACACACACACACACACACACACACACACACACACACACACACACGCACACACACACACACATTGATGTTATTAGAGTGTACATGTTTTTGTCTGACCCACATAATGCATGCTGGGTTGTCGTGCTCGGGGGGAGATTTGAGAGTTAAGGACAAGTGACCTACAATTTACATTTTCAGTCCCGTTTGTGTCATTCAGAATTCAGTAAACGCAGTATTCAAAGGCCAACTGGTTCGGACTGACAGAAATGACTAACTGGTAGATCTCAGAGCTTAAATAACATGCCAAGATAAAGAGTTAGATTCTGAAAAGGTGGCAATAAAAACAAATCAAATCAAAATGTACACTTACATTATTGATGAAAAGGCTTTTCCGTTTATCTCGCACTAAAGAAAGAAAGACGGACGTGTCAATAAATCTTGTGTCCTCTGTAGGACAGCAGCACAAAGACACACATATAAAACCCAGCAGTTATCAACCAGTAGCACATGCTGTTATCACACACACACACACACACACACACACACACACACACACACACACACACACACACACACAGAACAAAAGCTGCTCGTGAGGGTTGGAAAGCAAGCGATTTGAGCTGGAAAAGAAGGGAAGACAAGGTGCCGTTTCACCACTAGAGGGAGACAGAGTCACAGGACTACTCACCGTTCCTGAAGGGCAACTCTGGAAAAAAAAAGACCAACCAAAGCTTTATTGTATTTGCAGCACGGTCACTGATTCTTTAAAAAAGTAAGGACAGAAAAAAAGAGATATTTTTTTATGTATGATTTCATATAAACAACATACTCGGCTGCTCACCACTTTAATGTTAAATGCTCAAATTTGGGTTTATTTGTGTCTGCTCTCATTTTCTACAGATTTTCAGATTTTGGTTGAAATTGTCTTTACGTCCTGACAGATATTAATAACTCATGTGCTCTGAAAAAGGAACGAAGAAACTCCATCATCTGTAGCAGATGTAAGACTGTAAAATCTTTGATCAATGTCTGCCATGAGGTACCAATCTGATGAACCAATCAGACGCCTCCCTGTTTCCCTGCTTGCTCTCTACCTCTTGCGTGCAATAGACCACACTCAAAGCACGTCACTGATGACAGAGTTTATAATGTAAATAATAATAGTGGTTGTCATGGCTTTAAGTAGGTAGTAATAGAAGACAATCTCTGCAGACACATTCAGGGTAACAAAATGTAAAAACTGTCCCAAAGTGTGCCACGTTTTGAGCTTTTATGAAAAACAATACATACATTTTTTGTGCACATCATCAGCAATATTGTAGAAAAATGAAGAAAGAGAAAAAAATGAAAAAGAAATGGAGAAGGAAACATTTGAAGAAGCACTGCAAAAAGTGTCTTTGCTAAAGAAGAGTCAGAAGCCAAAGTGTTTGTATAAATCTGGTGACTTAACACAATTTGCTCAAAGACATAACAATATGATAGGGCTTCATGTCTGGATATTTCAGTTTGTGTCTTTCAGAGTTATAAAACCAAATTAAAGCTCAGCAGCACAAAGTCATGTCACTAGACAGGCAATACATGAGGGGAGGATTGATTTGCTGCAGGTTTGTTCTCTTCAGGGGATTTGTTGATAAAAATGAAAAAAGTGGGGGGAAAGAGGGAGAATAATGTCATTTGTTCAGTTGTATCTGGACAAATATTCACCACATGGACACACAGAAAAAAGCGGTCCATAAGAGCATGCAGCACATGCTTTATTATTCAATACCTCATCTCATCTCATCTCATATCTGGGATTAAATTTGGTTCAGGAGAACCCATTCATTATTATGCAGTTTCCATCTACTTCAACATCAGAAAGCGTGCACGCTCTGCTGTTGGTTCTTGCAGCCTTTAAGAAAAACAATAAGCTTCACCGGCCGCCTCTGGGCAAACGCATAAATTAGCATCAGCTAGAAACAAAACGGAACTCCTACATACAGCATCTGGTTATGGAAAGTATCAGAGCAGGATAATATAGAAAGAGGTTTAAAGCACTACAGTTTCTGAAGTGAAGCCAATAAGGAGGTGCATTAAACCTGCATTCTTTCTAATGGCCAGCAGGGGGCAGTTGCAGGAAGATGTCCAGTTGAATGCAATCTAAAAAAGGAGCTTATTCCTCACGAGGTCAATTTCCTCCCGTGAATTTCATTTGATTTGGTGATCTCGATAGCTAATTTTAAGTCTTCTTCAGGGCAATGTAAATTAGGGTCCAATTAAAGGAGCAATATGTAACTCCTCCCTAGAGTCGATGTGCACTCAGGTTGCCATGACGAAGACACTGAAGCTTCAGTGTTTGACCACCTCTACATCGATCTCCAAACCTTTCTGAGTTCTAACCCCTCTCCAATATTTATCTAAGTTTTACAATGTTTTTTGGTCGACCTTTTAGGTTGGATAGCATCAGTTATACCTGAACCAGTTCGCTTCGGTTGCTTCTATCGCTGCAACACCTGTTGGTTTGGCGTTTGCCTGTCAAACCGAGGGGCGTGTCTGATGATATAGTAAGGTCATTAGATGATCTATTTCAGATATCTTATCTTATCAATATGTCTTACATCTCGGACCTTTTCGAGTTCGACAATTTAGCCAGGTTCGCTTTATTTCATGGATACCCTGTGTTTTGCAAAATGTTAAGATGACAAACTGTCAATCAGGAGAAGCAAAGTTTAATGAGCCCTTATCAAACAAGACAAACATGGTAAGTACTGGTTCCAAAAAAAAACTAAAGAAAAGATGGCAACAGTCAAAATGTCAAAGTCAAGGGTTTCAAAATGGTACTTCACAAACCTAAAAAGTAATGTCACTATCATTACATCCACTTATAATAAACAGTTTATGATCTAAATCTAGTTTGGATTTTTTTTTAAATGCTTCATCATTCAATTCAAAGGTACTCACCATCGTTCTGGGATTTGCTGAGGAAGATGGTGCTCGCCCGCGGATGGTCTGATGGATTGTACTCCATATTCAACTCTGTAAAAACAAAAAAAACAAATGTCACCTTCTGAAAAACCAACGTTATGGGAGACATTCAACTTTAATCCTCACTTTACAAAAGTATAGAAACATCAGCTGTTATCTGTTTTGGGGCGACAACATGTAGGAACTTGGTTTGGTGCACTTTGGCGCCCACCAAAGGTCTCAGAGTGCAACTGCATTTGTTTACCAGCAGAGGGCGTGAAGCGTGAAGACATGAGAAGCTAAACAACCACGTCGACTTACATGGTTCGGTAATGTGACCAGATTTTGGGCAAATATGACTCTGCAAGCGTCTTCAGACCGTTGTTTGCAAACTGTTACCATGATGACTATAAACCATGACTAAATGGCTACAATTTTTTTCCTTTATCTTAAAAAACAGGGCTGCATGTGTGTTTATTGTTCCACATCCAGGCATGATTCATGTTCCTATCTAAAGCTAATCTGGACTGTATCATAGCCTGAGGGCATGAACCACTGATGCATGTGCTGCATCTAATAAAACAGGGAAGCACTCGAAATGCCCTAATCATGGACTACATGCAAACATTTCTTTATTCCTTGTGGATTTGAGCAGCTACTGTGAAAAGAAAGAGAGTGGATAGTGTAAGAGTCTCCTTTCTCTCCCCATGAGGTGTCCGTTTCAACAGCGAGAACTAGTTTCAAACCAAAAATGCTGCAGTGTTTAAATATGCAATGTGATCGTTGCTGAAATACAATCTCAGCTCTGTTATCTTGCTGAAAAAGCAGCTGGAGCCTATTATAATCAAAAGGAGACCATCCACAGTATTTTGCACTTAAAACCTGAACATTGCATTTTGAGAAGTGAGTGTATTTTGCTGCTGGGAAATGCTGCTGGATTTTCAAAGTGTTGGGAATTGGTGAAATCAGCATTTAAAAATGCCCGGCATGCAGTCTGGGTTGTACAAAATTCAGACTCCCACAGTACGACAGCAGACTTAGATTCAGATCCAGGCTATTCGGACGCCAATAACGTAAAAAAAAAACATTAAGAAACCAAAGGTCTGTGATAATTTTTCTTGTTCCTGGCACTTATCCTCTTCTAGCGGTGAAATAAAATATAAGTACCAAACAGGAGTGATCTTACAATCCTATCAGAGAGTGAGTTTAACTAAAGCAAGGATGGAGAGATGAGGAAACGACATTAAGTGCAAACGAACAGCTTCCGATCTCACACACAGGTGCTGACAGACATTGCACAGAAGAAGAATAATTAAGTTAATATATCACCATCAACAGCTGTTCTTGAGAGTTATAATCAGCATCAAAACCATCCTAAATGTCATCATCAAGTGTGCTAGTTTCATAAAGAGCTGGGTCTTTAGCTTTTTCTTAAAGGTGCAGAGGGACTCTGCAGATCAAATGGAGTTTGGCGTAGTTCCACCACCGGGGAGCGACAGAGGACAAGTTAGTTAGAGACTTAGAGCCCTGTTGTGAAGGTTGGATCAGACGCCTTTCATTGGCAGGCTCTCTACAGCTGATTCCTCCCATGGCTCGGCTCCCATCTGCACTTCAATGACCCAGGACTCCTGCATGTTATTCCCCACTCTCCCCCCTGATTTCTCACTCTGTCCCCTGTCCTGTCTAAAGAAAGGCAAAACCCCAAAAAATAGAAATCTTTAAACAACATGTTTACTGACCTTTAGACCTCACAAACACTAGACACACTATTACGCATGATATTTCCAGCAGAGCCTGGTTGATAGTGAACAAATTAAACTTCTTGTACAGTCTTGTTTTTAAAGTTTAAACCCTTGTGTTTCCTTTTTTTTGCTTCTCAGGCACAGTGTATAGAATGATGGATGAATATGTGCATAGTGTGATTGTGTACACAGCCTATTGTTAGTAAAGCGTTATAAAATACATTCTTGAAGCTGAGAAAATAGAGCATGTTAAAGAAGGCACCGCTGAAACATCTTTGTGCTCTACTTCACTGCTAAACCCAATTACATGAGCCTTCTCACAGACTTTGGCCTTGCAAACTGTTTGTTTACTTGCTCAACTAATTTTAACCCAAATGCCACTTCCGCTGGCAGCTGGACGATTGGCAAAAATACTCTTGACACGGTTTCTCCCTCTGACATTTTCAGAAACACATCTGATTATTTCTGGTTGAAGGCCTCTGCAGGCGAGCAGGCTGAGAGGACTGAGCTTGGATTAGCCTTGTGTCGGTTTAGCACCTTATGCAACAGTAATCAGGGGTGTCGCTGTATCCGGCCAATTTCAACACGTTTGCATATCGGTGCTTTACCAGATGCTAAGCTGGTGTTCATTGTGAGAGCACATCAGTGCTGCGGGACTGAGAGAGTAAAGCAAGACAGATTTTAAAATAACAGCTGATTAAAATATTATTGTGTTACATTCTGTGAATGTAAATTTAAGTTAGAATCGCTTAATTCAGGGATGTAGTGCATTTATTTATTAACATCTTAGTTTGAAATTTTACAACGTATCTTTGCACTATTCTGCTACAGATGTTTGGAAGTAATACTCAGTGCCAATCCAGATTCATACTTTGCTCAAATGTCACATATTCTGCAAAATACACTTCACTGTGTTGTTCTAACACTAATATGTGTCCCTGGTCTGTCTTCAAACCCCCCAATTAAGTCCATCCTCTCCGTCTTTTGCCTGCTCTACTTTTCAGAAAATGTGTGCTCACACAGGCCGTTTGGAGATTTTCCCTTTGTGACATCACAAAGGGCAGTAACCCCTCCCCCAGGTGGGTGACACTCCCACAGCTAGGTGTTTGTTCTGTCCATAGTCTCACTTTCCAGTGCAAACAATTAGGCATTAAGCGAGAAAGCCCCAAAGCCCCTTCCAGAGAGGGGGCTCATTTGCATTTAAAGGTACAGACACAGAAACAGCTTGTTCTGAGCAGGGCTGAAATAGAGGGGTTTATAGACATGATCAAATACAGGATCAGAGTGGATTTAGAACAAGAAACTTTACAGACATGTTTCGGGGAGCTCTGGGGCATTTATCTAAAGAGGATAATAATGTGCCCTTTAATGTATTTCTATGCCTTACATAAAGCAGCTCTTGTGTTTGAAACATTATAATGCAAAGATAAATTTGCGCTGAGTCGCATAAAACATTTTTGGTTTACCAAATGTATTTTACATTTCTGAATAAATCTGACAGGTCCCGACCCACTGGGCCTGTACCTCCTGGAAATCCCAGAGTGCACAGCAGCTGGTGTCCAGTGTTGATATGTGATATTCACCACCTCAAGTTAACTTTAAAGAAGACTCGCGGTCGGCACCTGCACAGTGAAACAGTAGAAGCTCGGCTAACCTATTAGCTGGCAAAGCAACCTGTCTGTCTCACTGCTTTTACATAATGAATCAACAACAGACGCACCCTGCTCTCAATGGGTGAAACCACAACTGCACTGTAGTGTTTTTTAACGTTGGATTTGTTGATTATGTCAACAATTCCTCCCTGCTGATTTTGATCAAGATGATCCTGAGGTCTTTGTTTCAATGTGTTAGTCGAATAAAAACACAAGAGCAGCACAGAAATGTTGCTGATGGACAAGTGTGAACATTTGCACTTTGTGGTTTGGGTTCTGCGTCTGCTTCTGCTTCTTTCAAGCATCTTGCTGTGTCAGTGACTCAGAGTAAAACTGCAGTGCATCCTTTAATGTGGCCCTGTCAGCAACACAGTGCTGCTATCTGTTACCACAATCTGCCTTTGTTATGAGGAGACGTCACTCCTTTCTCTTTTCCCCGTTTCTTTGAGGTCTGGTCCCTTAGGTTTGTGTTAGCAGCTTTTCTGATCATTTTACAGCGGCATCAACATTTTCCTTTTATCACTCAACTGGTCAGATTGAAAAGAAACCTCCAGGTCTTAACACGTTTCTCAGGTTCCACAACAAAAAGGGTGACTTTCAAGCCCTCATACTGGGACCATGGCTTGCTGCATTACTGCACCTTTACCCAAGTATACAAGTATCACTGGCATGATAATAAGTGGGGCCTGCCCTTAGAAATGGCTGGGCCCCTGAAAAACCCAGTAAATGGGCCCTCCCACACAGATATGATTTAACTCAACTTAAGCACATTCGATCAGTATACTGTTAGCACTAGCCTCCTGGCTAACATTAGCTCCCTCTGCCTCGCTCCCATCAGCCTTTGGAGCTGACTCAAATAAGTTTGTTTCCAGTGGGATGCCCCTTGTCCAACATATTGACATGACTTCTCTGTAATCACAAGATGACATACAGTAACTGATCCTAGATCAGATCATCATGCACTCATTACATCCATCAACCTGTCATCCAATCACAGCCCCATCAGATAGTACATACAGCATCAAAACCTCTGAAATAAGGTTTGATCATGGATGGTGTTGATGCAAGTGTGGATACAAATATGGATAAACCGGCAAAGACTTTGCAGATACAAAAAGGACGCAACAAAGACGTGGGTTAAGCCGGTCAGCGACAGCTCCGAGGAAACCTTCTGCACTTTATGCCGTTGGGATTTTCATATCAGCCAATAAATGTTTTGTTTGTGTGTCCGCCACTCTTCAGGCTCCCTGTAATCTATCATGTCGTAAACCTCAACTTGAACCCTTCAGCACAGTTTTCACTAAGCCTTTGAGTAAGATAGATCGATCAAATAATCAAAACACTTCTTCTTTTCATTAAAAAACTCTTAACGCTGTGGGATAATTTCCAGGGCAGCTCTTGTTCTTGGGTTAAATCTACAATGTGCACTGATGTGATATGATCCCAGTGTTATTGTTGGAGGCTGTGTGGAAGAGTGAACACTGACTGGCTCCCATGCAGTCACTGAACATGTCCACTGTTCAGTCATGCTTTTATTAATCTTTGACCATTTAAACTGACCTGTAACATATTTCTACCACACTGTGAGTGTACACTGGGATAAAGGATGTGACATAAACCTGACACTTGGAACATGAATGCATCATATTGTGTTTCTAATGTTGGGTGACATCTACTA